CAATCGGTCCATGCATGTTCGAGATACAGGTGATCACGGACGCACGGACGGACGGACGCACACAGGGCAAAACATAAGTCCCCGTTTTCGGACTGCGTCCGAACGGGGACTAATAATCTGTGAGAACAGACAACACTACGTTAGAATGGAACTGAAGCAGGCACACCAGAGAAATAGTTGATGGCATGTTGAAACAAATGGGTATGTGAAGAGTATTATGTCTTGTCTTTGTGCCAACTTTGAACAAAAATGGTCAAAGCTTGCCCTGGAAATGAACCAGTGAAAATAAAACCAACATAGCCAACCACTCGATCCATTTTCAAGTTTTAGCATGTGTGTGTAATATTTTTGTGAAATCAGTTTGATTGCATTGCCAAGCACAGAGGTAAAGTTGCATATAAAAGATTTTCAAGAAACTCATTTATGATTTAAGTTCATCCTGGTATTATTTCCAGATAGTTGAAAGAACGAAAAAGTTACCAAAAAATGTAATTCTGCAATCAGATACAAATATTAATGCCAGTCTAGTCTAAATGCCATTATGGTATTTGGTATGAAACATTGTCACTACAATAAACCAGTTTTAGATCTTTCAGGAACACATTTCACAACAGTATTTACTCATTATGAGCTTCTTAAGTCATGTATGCTTCATTTACATTCAAAATACGACTGCGGGATACGCGTCATCATATGTCAAAATAAATTCCATATTTTTTTAAACATCATGGAGCAAGCACGAGATTCTATTATAGTCTTCTATATTCGATGGAAAGAAAAGAAAACCTTTTTTTCGAAGTTCTTCTAAGACTATATAAAGTGCATCCAATGGTAACTTTCCTGTAGAAAATAGTCAAGGAATTATCAAAACATGTTATTATTAAAATCATTTTTCTTGAATTAATTAGATTGGAGGAGACTGCTGTAGAAGTGACACTGGTTATTCACTGGTTAAGTTTTCATGACTTTTAGCTCCTTATTTTGATGTGCAAGTCAAAATAATAACACAACACACTCAATATTCATACATAACAAACCATGTAAAAGGATACTGTTAATTTTACTGTTAGAAAATAAAGGACTTGATTGCACCTCAGTCACATCAAGACTGAATATTTTGTAATGTTTATGATAAGATAATACCAGACTACACCATGCTTCAAGCTGTGTTTGCCTTGTTTCCAGGTTTGGTTGAAGACTGTAAAAAAAACAAAAAAACATTTGTTGATTACTGAAATAAGTAAGAGATGATCTATACACAACAACTGATTGCATTTACTCTGTCAGAAGTAAATTACAAGTATGAATAGAAAAATTGTTCACACCTACAAATAAATAGCAAATACAGTATACCCATTAGAAACTCAGAGGGTGGAGAGGTGATAGAAAAACTGAGCAAATTATGTTTTCCTTTCATTTAGTTTGTGGTCATTTTTTTGTTGCTTTTCTCTAATATGTTTTTATAATAGCAAATGCTGGAAGGGCTTTAGATAACAAGTGTACATGTATATATAGAGGTGAGTATGGAAAAAATATATATACTCCAAGCATTTGAACATTTTCGGTCAATGGGCAGCAATATTTTCTTTGTTGTTTCACAAATTACCGCAATGATAAGGAAATTGTTTTCTGGCAATGGACAGAAAACAGTTAAACTCTGAATGATGTTTTGAGTGGTTTTGAGCAGTTGTGACACAGAAGGTATACATGGCACCATCATGAATTCTGCTTGCATGCCAAATAACTTTCATAACAGCTCAAATAACAGCTTTCATAGATTATGTCAGTTCTATTTTCATTCAATCAATAAACTACTTGTCTGCACTTGCTTA